CTGACAAGGAGGCTCCGGGCTGGGGCAGGATGGGCCCTGTGCTGTCTGCAGCCAGGCGCTGCCTTCCCTTCAAGCCTCGATCCCTGTGCTCCCTCCCACCTCAAGCCGCTGAGGAAACTTTTCTCTTATGTCCTCCAGGCCATGGTGTAAGACCCCAGGCTCTTCTCATGAGCTCATTGAAGGGGTTTTGTGTCAAAAAGATACAAGGCCCCAAAACCCACTGGACGGATTTATTAAAGTGGCCTTCAGCTCTTTTATACCTTGAGGCTGCACACAGGAAAAATGCTACGACTATTTTCAAGGAGTCAAAATAGCACACTTTTATTGGTAAACTTTGCCAAGTAAGGGAACTTGGCAAAAGTTTAAAACAAACATTAAGTCAACCTAAAGCATTTCACAAAGCACTGACTTAGAAAATTCCAATCCATCCAGGTTTAAGTTACCCAAGTATCAAGAAAAGGAAATTAAGAGAAGTAGAAGAAAAGAAAGAGAGAGAATTATAGCTACCACTTTAAATCCATCATAGAATCAGCTACCAGAAGTCCAAGAACAGTAGGGTTATGCCAATGTGAAGGCCACGTGGTCTTGATTTTATTAGCTCTGGTGGGGCTTTCAGTGTGCCAACCATTCTGGGGCTGGTTACGGGCTCCAGGGGGTGTGGTGTGGGGTAGTGCTCTTGGTGTGCCAGTGACTGACTGCTGCACAAGAAACTCTCAAGAAGGATGGATTATGGGGGGGGAGCAGTGCACCACTCCACCTTGGCAGAACCCTATCTGCCCCCTCCCACACAGACAGAGTTGTTTCTAACCAGTTATAATGTTCATAATTTTTTTCAGTCCTTCACAAATGGCAGTGGCAATCACACTCCTCCTGGCTGTGGTGGCCATCCTGCTGGGAAAGATGCACGATCTTATAGTCAGTGTGGCCACGGCCCAGTGGATGAAGCTGCATGAGGTTTTTCTGCGTCCGGTGATGACATGGCTTTGGCAGGACGTTAAGCTGACCAGCCCCTTGGAAGAAGCCTCACTGCTTCCCAAATTGCAGCGCTGGCCCTTTTGCACTGCTGCAGCAGCCGTGCTCGCTGAGATTTGCTGGGTGGCCTGGCAAATGCATCTTGCCTCTCGCAGCTGCCCTGAGCAGGACAACTCCAGCATCGAGGAGGAGGAGGATGACAGTGAGAAGAAGGACCTCAAGGAACAACACCCCAGTGTTCGGATGTTTTCTGTGCACAATGTATTGCCAACGCAGGAACTGTCTGACATGTGCAGGGATGTGCAGAAGTTGGTGCGTGACCTCCTCCGTGTCTGCCGAGTGATTTGCAAGAAGACTTCCATGCCAGAGATGCACCCAGCCATTGGGAAGGATGGTATCCATGAATCCTGGAATGTCTTTGAGGACCGAATCATGTACCTGCTGGTTGTGGTCCTGCAGCCACCCCCCGGATACTCTTTCAGATTGGAGCTGTATGGTGGGATGCACCTGCCAGAGAGGTGCTGCAATATCCGTGTGGTGCTGGAGTGCACATGCTCAGGGACAGGGGATATGTTTTGTTTTCTCCACCCCTCTGACAACAACCATAGCTCTCACCTCCTATCCACCCTCTGCACAGGCTCCTATTTAGATGTGGAGGAAATTGCCTGCTGGATGCAAAATTTGGTGGGATCAGCCTGGGAGAGTTTGCCTCAGTGGCACGATTGGGAGCTCCGGGTGCTGCCCTCCTCCCATTCCTGCAGGCTCCTGCTGACTGGACCCTCCGAGGTGCAGCTCTGTGTTGTGCTGATGTTTGCAGTGCAGCAGGGCAGCCCAGGCACCTTCCTGGTCCTCCAGTAGGCAATTGCAGCTTTCCCAGGCACTGGTTTGGGCTGGGGCTGCACGGGGAGTTGGGAGCACACACAGCTGGGACAGCACAACAGACCACTATGCTCAGTATATGAAAGAGAAGGGGAGAAGGAAGAGGAAGGGGATAGGTTTGCAGTCACAACATTTGTCTTCCCAAGTCACCATTGGTGACAGAGCCCAGTTTCCCTGTAAATGGGTGAACACCTGCCCGCCCATGGGAAGACAAATGTTACAACTCCGAACATCCCCTCAGAATCACAGAATCAAATAGATTGGAAAATACCTCTGAGGTCATTGAGTCCATCCTATGACTGAACACCATTCCTGGATGTCACACAATCAAGTGCCACGTCCAGTCTTTCCTTAACACCTCTGGGGATAGTGACTCCACCACCTCCCCGGGCAGTCTATTCCGATGTCTAATCAGCCTTTCTGTGAAAAAATTCCTCCTAATGTCCAACCTACTCTGGTGCAGCTTAAGACTAAGTCCTCTCGTCCTGTCACTGGTTGTCTGGCAGAAGAGGCACAGCTGCTCTAGGAAGTTCTCTTCCACAAACTCCAAGAACCTCCTAGTCTGGCTACTCTCCACTGAGTTGAGTTTCCAGCAGGTGTCCAGCATGTCCCTCCTCCTTCCTTCTGTCCCCTTGATGTGGAATATCCCTTTGGCCAGTTTGGATCACCTGTCCTATATATGCTCTGTTCCAGTTTCAAAACTAACTCTCCCCCAGCCCAAACCAACACACTGAGCAACAGCTTTTGAATTGTTTTCTGTGACAGAGGAGGAACAAAATTTGAGCACCAAAGCCTGCTATCTAGTTCTCATAATAGTACAAAAGGTCATTTTTCCAAGTGGTTAAACTTCACCCTTAGGCTTTCAAGATTATGTGCTGAGTCTTTACTAAGAAAAATCTTATTGCTTTAAGAAGCAGCCATTGCTTTTAAGAAGAGAGAGACACTGTTTTTTTGTTAAAAACAAAACAGAAACAAGAAAGCCTTATCCCATTAGCAGCTTGAACGGCATGTGAAAATAAAGTTTGTAATAAAAATTGACATTTCCTTGGCTCCTTTTTCCATTGAGGTCTGACAGGTGTTTGCAGGGTTGCCAACCCCCCTAGGTTAATTCTATGCATGAAGAACAGTGGGATTAAGCTACTTCCTCAAGTGGAATTCTGAAAAATTAACTGAAAAGGGGAATCATGGAGTTGTTAAGGAAACTTCCCTGTGGGACCATCTAGGAGTCACCTCAGGAGTCACACCCACAGTACCTGCACTAGGACCGAGGTCCCTTCACAGCAGCGGCCCCATTGACCCCACAGGTGCCCCACTTGGCTCCCTGCACACATCACACTCACACAGTCAGACCAGGTTTCCTTAACACCTCAACACCAGGTTTCCCACAGCAGAGTCACGGAAGTGAAGATCCTTCAAATACTTTAATCTTGATGCAATAACAGAATAACATCTAGAGCTGGGTGACTCGAAGGAGGGACTCTGAACAAAGGAACCCCTGGGCTTTTATATTCTAGCAGTCCAAATGTGGGAAAGTCTGAGGCTCCTGACGTTTCTCAGTGTCCCTGGGGCTTCAGCCTCCCACAGATCAGGCTGCAGCCCTCACTGCAGCTGCACACCCAGCTACCAGAACTATATGTGTTCCTTAACAGAATCATAGGACCACAGAATGGTTTGGGTTGGAAAGGGATCTTGAAGATCATCTAGTTCCAACCCTGCTGCTGTGGCAGGGACACCTCCCATAAGACCAGGTTCCTCAGAGCCCCATCCAACCTGGCCTTGAACGCTTCCAGGGTTGGGGCAGCCACAGCTTCTCTGGGCAACCTGTTCCGGTACCTCATCACTTACACAGTAAAGAATTTTTTCCTGATATCTACTCTAAATCTACTCTCTATCAATTTGAACATCATCATTTACCAGATTTTTTTCAAGCTCAGCAACTGCGGGATTGAGATGTTGAGGTTTCCTGGTGGGCCACTTTCAGTCTTTTTCCACAGCTGTTACCATATGTTTTTAGAAGTCCACAGATAAGGTACACACAGATTTTACTTTACCTTTTCCATGGAAGAGCATGTCTGTGGGAGGCAATCGAACTGTGGACACCTTGGGCCCTGAATTCGAGTGGTTGCAGCTGTGAAGTTGTGAAGGAATGTAAACAACAAAGATGAGAAGGTGGACAGGGAGGACAGAGCTGCATGGTAGCTCTGATAGCCAGAGAGCCTGGACTGTTTGCTGAGTGACCCCGAGTTGCAGAAGCTATAGAGCAGCCAGTCTTAAGATGTGTATGTAGTAAGGGCACCAATGGTGGTGAAACACGCTGACTAGGGGAGACTATAAATTGTCCATGTTTGTATGAAATAAAGGCTTTTCTGCGTGAAATCCCAGTGTGGTGTCCATCCCCACAACAACACATGCCCAGAGTATTGGTGCCACTTCATCTGAGAAGAGTCAACTTGATCACTTGTGATGACCTGTTTAGAGCCTAATCTGGGCAAACCAACTTTAGAGTAGAGCTAGTTGCAAGTATAACCTCTCCAAACACTCGTGGGGCACACACTGTCTCCTCTGCACCCACTGTTCCACTGTACCCATTGTTCCACCCAGCTGCAGCACTGGATTAACACACAGCCTGGGGAGAGCAGAGGGAGCTTTCACCTCCTGTGCATTCCTGACTCTGCTCACGGCACACAAGGCACAGCAAAACTGTTCTTTCTATTTTTTTGTTCTACTCACAAAGCTTTTGTGCCTGCAGAGGACCTTTCAGTTGTACAATCCCAAACTGTACCCAGGTCACATCCTCTCTCTGCAAGCTCCTGTGTCTGTAGATAGAGTACAAGGGAAGCAGCAGAAGTGCAGAGGGGACAGGAAAACAGACCCCGCTTTTCGTGCTGGCAGATGTTTTGCAAAACACCACTCTCAGAAGTAGAAAAAAGGACAGGCAGAGTGAAACATCTCTCATTCGTCATATCTGAGATTGCTGTACAGTCTTTCTGGCCACCTGACTCTCACAACAGTCTCTGAACATGCTGGCACTCACTCTTTTGTTTGGTTGGCCTCTTGACTGCACTAGTTCCTTTTGGTCTAGACATCCAAGCAACTTTTTGCAAGGCTAATGACAGCATTTTCCTGCTTAATTCCATCCACAGATGAAGACTTCAACCTATATTCTTGATTTTAGCCCTGTCCTAACCAGTGAGTCCATTTACCTCCCAACAAGCTTAAATCTCCCCAGTAATCAAATGTTCAGCACCTCTGCACGGGTCCCCAGTGGGTTTTAATGTGGCACCTTGGCAGCTGGCATATTGCCTCAATTCAGATGTCCCCAGCTGTATCTTAGACTAAAATTTCTGTGGGATCCAACCACCAGAGGAACAGAGATCCATAATCAGTGAGCAGAGTTAGTCCTTCTGTGCCCTAGGCATTAACTAGAAACGGTATCATGGAATCGTAGAATCCTGGGGACATCAAACCTCCCATAACAGTGTAGGCAACTGTGTCACAGAGTCATAGAATCATAAAACTGTAGGATGTTTTGGGTTGGAAGGGCCTCAAAAGACCATTTAGTTCTAACACCCCTGTCATGGGTGAGGACACCTTCCACTAAACCTGGTTGCTCATATTTCCTGTATTTTTTTTTCCATTCCACCCAAAATAGATTATACATTTTCCTGCTGAGTTTTCCCAGCAACTTTTTTTTTTTTTAATGATGACACATTTTACTCTGTTCCCCTTCAAAATGCTTCACAATATGCTCTTAGAGCACTTCACTGTGGGAGATGTCAGACTGCAGATTTTTTTCTGCAAAACTTACTTAAAACTTGCAACTCTGTCCAAGGCAGGTAAATATTCTGCAGGAAAGTAAGATTCCTAGTATTTTGTCTCACACAGAGATGAAATAACATGCTGTATTTTAAAGCAAGCTTTTCCCCACTCCTGCTGTGATGTAAGAAGTTGTTTTGTGAATCTCATTGCTTACACTGGAAAGATCAGGGCAGAGAAAACAGTGGAGCAGCAAGTTTGCTTTATGCAGCATCAGTCCTCTGGTAAAGTGAGGTTTTCACTAAAAATATCTGTGATATTTTAATCTAGAAGGAGGACTCTATTCCTCTATTCTCACCTCTTCTGCTAGGTGTTTGCTGCTTAGTGGAGATTTTTTTATATGAGATCATCACCATAGTACTCATAACACCCTGGCCAGCAGAGACTGTGAGGTCAATACTTAAAAAGAGCACATTCTTTTTCTGTAGTATCTGCTGTGCAACTGCCTTTAAGTTTGTTCCTTGAAGACTGTGCAATGGCATCCCAGAAAGCCAATTGTATCCTGGGCTACATCCCCACAGCGTGGTCGGGAAGTTGAGGGAGATGATTCTGCCCCTCTGCTCTGGTGAGACCCCACCTGAAGTGCTGTGTCCAGCTCTGGGACTCCCACATCAGAACGATGTGGAGCTGCTGGAGCAAATCCAGAGGAGGTCACGAAGAGGCTCAGAGGGCTGGAGCACCTCTGCTCTGGAGACACACTGGGAGAGCTGGGGGTCTCCAGCCTGGAGAAGAGAAGCCTCCCCCTTCCAGTGCCTATGAGCTACAAGAGAGCTGGAGAGGGCATTGGAATGACAGGAAAAGGGGAATGGCTTCACACTGGCAGAGACCAGGTTCAGATTAGATATGGGGAAGAAAGTCTGTACTGTGAGGATGGTGAGGCCCTGGCACAGGTTGCCCAGAGAAGCTGTGGCTGCCCCATCCCTGGAAATGTTCAAGGTCCGGTTGGATGGGGCTTCGAGCAACCTGAGATAGTGGAAGGTGTCCCTGTCCATGGCAGAGGGGGTGGAACTGGATGATCTTTGAGGTCCCCTTCCAGTCCAAACCATTCTGTGATTCTATGATTATGACTTTATGATTTTACAATACTATGTGTTTAGGATTCTATTAGTTTTTTATTCTACTATGTGTTTATGATTCTATGATTCTGTGACATAGTTGCCTACATTTTTAGGGGAAGCTTGATATCCCAGGAATCACTTCCAAATCTGGAAATCTCTTGTGTCAGTGAAAGATTGCTTATAATTATTTTTTGTAAATATGGAGCTATGACACAGCTGTAGAATTCTGCCTTCCCCCAACAAGGAACAACAACAGAAGCCTCAGTATTTGCTACCTCTTTTTGCACCAAAGTTTCTTTGAGTGTCCTCTTTAAGTTTGATCTTGGCTTAGTCAGCTTCTGAGTCCACAAAAAAAAAAAAAAAAAAGAGAGAGCAGAAGGGGTGAAGGAAAGCAAATCCTTATGCCAAACTACTTTTCTCAAAATTTGCACAAGCATTAATCAGCACATTGCTGCAAAACAGAACAAATAAGAGCATCATGTTCTTCTGAAAGACCAGTTTAAAGGGTTTTGAACTGAGTCAGACAAACATATCCCTCGGGGACATCTTTGATTTCTACATTGTTCTCCTGATCACACAGTGTGTTCCCAGAATGAGATTTTTCACTGTTTGTCTTCTTTTCCTTACTGGGCATGGTATTTAGGCAGAAAATCTGTCAGAAAGGAATAGCTGCATATAAATGTTATTCTTAGTACGGTTTCTGATATTATAGCTCAGCATGTTTGGAATATTGATCACAGCACTTTA